TTGCCAAGTCCATTGATCTGACTGCGGAGAGAAGAATAACATTTATCCTTTGTCCTCTTGGGGTGAGAGAAACCTAGGCTGGGCGTCTGTTAAGTAGATCCTAGCTTAGGTATTTTATGGGGCTTCCCCTTTCTCCTCGTGCTGGTTTATGAACCTACCCCATGCCTCCCTGTTCTTTCACCTCACACTGCATTCTTCAGACAAGTGGCGTTTGCTTTCCTAGTCTACTTAAGTCCCTCTAACCCTCCTGACCTCCCACCTCAGGGATCAGCTCCTGTCCGGTCATACTGGTGTGATGAAACACATGAGCAAAGCAATCTGGCCAGGAATTCTTGGACCCAGTTTGTCCATCGAAAGCAAGCTGGGGGAGGGCAGATCACAGATCTTGGGTCGGCCTTTGCCTACTTGCATTCCCTCGTTCACGGGAATGGGGATGTCCAGTCTGTCAGCAGGGCGCTGCCAGTACAGTCTCATCTGTCACCAGAAGTCAGGCTACATAACAGGATTTCCACGCCTTACCCATGCATGGCTGGGTGCTCTGCCTACCCAGCTTCCTCCTTTAGTAAACCACACCAGCCTGAGGTCAGCCAGGAGCCGCATTTGCTGCGTTTGTTCAGCAGCCGCTCTAGTCTGACTTCATTCACCTGTGTTCACAGAGTCAGCCAGGGTCGGAAGGAGGAAGAGAGGTGCCCACTCATTAGCCCAGTAACATACTAGGGAAGCCAGGGAACCAAGATTTAGCTGCCTCATTTTGAGACCCATCTACCTGCCAACTCAGATACATTTCTTATCATTCTAATTCCAAGAAGGAAGAACCAGGGCGCAGTTAAAACCAATCACAGCCAAACAAAAAGTCCACCAGTATAAATAGCTCATTACCCAATATCTGGGATTCACTCACAACCTCCTGAGCTCTAAAGGGTGCACACTGCTCTGCCTCCCCGACTGCCCTCCACAGCACACATAGCTCCTCTCCTTGACTCCAGCCAGCTTTGCGAATACAGCTGCTACTGTCCTGGTGGCCATCCACAGTCCTGGTGCTTCCTGCAGCTTCATGCCACCGCCAGCAGGACCGTAGCCTCTGTGTGCTGACACACTCACAGGTGATGGACCCCAGTGACACTTGGATTCTGTGCCACTGGCACCCAAACACCTACTCACTCCCAGTGGCTGTGGGGGATCACCTGGATTTCTACCACACTAGTCCTGATTGGGGTATCCCTTGCTTTAAGGAGTCCCTTGGGATACCCAATGAGTCACAGTCACCTGATGCTTCTCAGTTTTCAGTCAGGTATACAGCTGTCCCCTGACATCCTGCACTGGGGTGAGGGGTGTCGTCTAGGGAATTGACGTGTTCTTTCCCTGACATGAACAAAGAATTGAACAGCTGAAAGTGATAGGAGACCACGCCATGGAGATTTGCATGCAGGACGGAAGAAGTCCAAGGCTGGAAGTCTATTAAATGGACACTGGCTTGGGTTTGGGGTACTTTATAGGGTCCCTGGGACTCCCCCTTCCCTCTATTGGTCCTCTCTAGATTGCTGCCCCCACTTCACGAAACTTACTTTCACCTCCCTGTCTGTCCGTGTCCCACTAACTCTCCTTTAGTCAGTAACAGGGTTCCTACGGTGACTGAACTCTACTGGAAGGCAGAAAGCTCTCATCCCAGTCCCTGTGTGCAGTCACGAATGGGACTGCATGGGACAAGGTCATACTGGAACTTGGTATGCCTGGGCCACTGTAGTGGGAGTGTTTATCAAATGTAAGGGGCAGGGTTGCATATCCAGAGGGGAGCACCATGTGGAGACACAGAAATAGGGAGGCGAAACAGCCTGGCCACCAGCATCAGGGAGAGCGTGTGTGCCCTAACTGCGGGTCAGGCTTGTCAGGGTTGATCTCATGATACTGAGTTCTGGTGCTTTGTCAACACCTACAAAATGGACACATCAGACTTCAGCCATTTTAAATGGACTGACCCTTAAAGAAGTAAAGGCAGTGAGTTTGACCTTTGAAGACCCCAGACTTCTTCACTAGATGACCTGGAATAAGACCGGATGGAAACTACGTCCACTGTAACCAGGTTTTACAGCACAGAGAGCAAAGTTACCATGCCGGAGCAGCGCTGAACCTGGCCTCCTGGAGTCAGGTTGCTCTTGGTGTCCCTCCTGCATTTTCATTCCCAGGCTCCCTGTGCACAGGGACCGTGACTGCTTATGGCCGTTGTCTCATCCAGGTGTGTTGCGTTCTTCACATCTGTGGTATCTCATGGGAAACCGAATGGCGGCTTGTCTCTAACTAGACAAGCAAGCCTTCATACTCTTGAAAACTGATCAGGAGGAGATTGAACAAGAGGCGGTCAAGTCTGTCATGTAGCACTTTTCTCGAACAAAACAGGGACCAAGAAAGTCCCTCCCAACATTTGAATATGAAATACACAGAAACAGGAAATAAATATTTCAGATTTCCAAATGAAAGCCTCAATAGTGAAAATCCCAAGGAAGTCTCTGTGTTGCCAGGGACATCAGGGTCCCTTCTCAATTTCATCAATAAAACATTGTAAAGTGGCGTTGGGAGGAGGCTGGAAGACAGTTTTGTTAGGGCAGCTGACTGGGGGGTGAGGAGGACAGGGAGGAGGGAGAGAGACCAGGATGCAATGGGAGGTGGCGAGCAGCTTACATGGAAAGTGCAAAGTGCTGAGAACACAGGCGTACGCTTTGCCCAGTATCGCAGAGGAAGAGAAAGGGAGTTATCTTTTAAAGCTCTGGAAGCGGGCACACTTGGCAAAGCTGTGCGCTGGTGGCATGACCTACCACACTGAGGGCTGGCTCCTCAGAGCGGAGAGTATATTGTCTCAGGAAGGGTTAATCATTCCTGCTGTCTCTTTAACATGGCTTTAGAAGAATGTGACCTCCTGAGGGTCCATTGACCAGGTGACTCACAGGCCTGACTGGATGAACTGCGTCAATAGTATGAACTGTTCCACGAAGCAGAGTAGATCAGAATGTAAGGCCCCACCCAAGGTCAGCCGCAGATTCCGATCCCTTGACTAGCAGCACCTTCACCTCAGAGACCCTCAACAGAGCCCTGATAACCTCCGGGGCCTCCAGAGCTCCCGTAACATTTTCCCCCTTAAGAATAAGGAACTTAAAATCACTTAGAAAATGGGCCAGCGTTGGGGGCAGGGGATGCATATAACCATGCCCACCATGAACAAGTTAGCATCTGAGCTGGAGTTTCCGTCCTGCCTCACTTACAGACTCCAGGCAGGGTGCTCATCTAGGAGGAGTTAAGAAACCAGAGCGCCCCCTGCTGGCCAGAGAACTGAAGACATTTCTTGCTTCTGCCCCCCACCCCTAAACTGCTTAGCCAGTTCCTATCCAGGTCCTCATCATATATGGAGCGTAGCACAAATAATAAAAACCCAGAGACAGATATTGGGGTTCAAACTGAGGATCAGAAAATCTAAAGAGCCAGCTGCTAGAGAAGTCTTCACACCCCTGCCAAGGCTGGGTGACCTCAGACAGAGCCTCTGTCTCCTCCCGTCCTATATGGTTTCGGAGTCGTTGATGTCAGTGTGGGGTGATTTTGAGTCCTAAAGAGTAACTCAGTTTTGTGACAGTGTATCCATACATTTATTGCCTTAAAAGCTGAGGACAAAATAATTATCCCTTTGCACGATCTTGTTATGTTACCTTGGCTGGTTTGAAATTAAAAATCCCATTGCCTCAGCCTCTCGAGTAGCTAAGAGTATAAGCATGTTGTCAGAGGGTCGGCTTCCGTGCCCATGGAAGCTTCTTCTTACCGACTATTCCTAAATCCTGTAAAGAAAATAAAAAGACTTTTGGAGAAGAGGTCTCACGCACTGATGCCCGAGCTAGCCTCCGGCTCCTGGGCCCGAGCCACCCTCCTGCCTGTCCTCTCAGGGCGACCACTGTAGGTGTGTGGCACAGCTAGGCGCCTTCGTGTCTGTTCTGACTCTGCCCATTTCGTCAGCCTCCCCCGCTGGCTGCCCGTGTTGGTGCACTGAGAATACTTGCTGCAAGTGAAGAGCCGAATAGCCGACAGCACCCATTTATGTTTAGTTCCTGTCAGCGGCCCTTCCCAGAAAGGTGAATTACGCAGGGCACTCCCGAGACACATCTGACGCTTAAAATTATTCACGGTGTGGATAAATGGCAAGTCCTTATTGAAAAAAAAAAAGAAAAAAGCAAAACCAGAAAACAAGTTGGGGCTGACAAGATGGCCTAGTAGGCTAAGGTGTTTGCCACCAACCCTGAGAATCTGAGTTCAATCCCTGGCACCGATGTGATAGAAAGACAGAACTGATGCCCAGAAAGTTGTCTTCTGACCACTGTGTGTGTGTACACACATATTATACACACATAGACACAAACTTTTAAAATGTTAAAAAAAACAACACCTAGGTATTTGTTGCATAATCACTTTCATTACCATCTTTGAAAATGCTTAAATAACACAATGAATTGGTTTTTTAAACCCTTTTTTCTCTCATTTTAGGTGGTACCATGAGAAGTTTGAAGATTACCCCAAATCGAGAAAAATTCTAATTCCGTTTGTGTATTAATGTGCTGTCTGCAGCATCGTCTTGAAGAGCTCCTTCCCGGCGACATCGTCTCCCTGGGCAATTATCAGCGAGCTGTTTTCCTCCATTCTGCAGCACCACTGCTTTCAGGAAGGGCTGTGGGGGTTCCCATCCCCTGGTGAAGGAGTAAGCCAATCATAAAGTAATCCCACTGTGTGCTCTTAGGGACGGTGCTGCCTGCCAGGCCAGGAGTGGGGAGCACTGAACCATCGCAGCTAACTGTCTCTGCCTTCAAATGTGCCTCTTTGCGGTTTGGTTTTTGTTTCTTTGCTTATTTCTAGATTTTTTTTTTTTTTTTGGTTTAGATTTTGGTTTTTTAAACACTGTGTAACCCTGACTGTCCTGGAACTCGCTCTGTAGGCCAGGCTGGTCTCGAACTTACAGATATCCTCCTGCCCCTGCCTCCTGAGTGCTGGGATTAAAGATGTGTGCCCCACCACCCATTGTTTGTGTATTTTTGAGGCCAAGTCTCACTGTGTAGACCAGGCTGGCTCTACACTCACAGAGCGATGCGAGGCCTCTCGCCTCCGCCACCCCATTGCCACCAAGCCTGGCAGTGCCTCTGGGTTCTGTGCGGCAAAAGTGGAAGAAGAAACCACTGATTCCACCACCTTACAACCAACCAACCCTGCAAGGAAGGCACACAGGTCAACAGAAGTCTCCTGCCTCCTCCGTGGATGTGTGTTCTGCCTGCTCAGCCCGGGCCAGAGGGGCCTGGGGCTGCGGAAGTAGTCACGGCCAGGGAGAGATCTCAGTCCGCTGTCCTTCCCTGGACCCCGAGACTGGGGAAAGGCCTCTTTGACTCGGCTCTCCCGGTGCCACACTCACTCGCTGGCCCTGCTTGGCTCTTCCTTTGGTCCAGGCGGAACTAGAGGTCTTTAAGGTACTTTTTAAAAAATATCTTGGTTATTATAAAACAAAACCTCAAAATAGAATTCCTTATTTTGAATGCACCCAAAGACCAATCATGGCCCATGACTGAGACTCCAGCACTCAGGAGGCTGAAGTGAAGGAATGGAAAGCTCAGGGCTAGCCTGGGCTATGCAGGGAGATCCTGCTTGAAACATGAATAAATAATTGCCAATACCCATACCAATTTCGGCCCTACCCCCACAAGGAAGTAGCTGCAGGTAGTATAGGACACCGCCCACCCGAGCACCAGCTTGGGAGAGAGGTCCCCAGCCGGGACCCTGACCCCACAGTGGCTCTTTGCAGCCTGAGCCACTCGTGAGGAGCCATCCCCACTGAACAGATCATCCCCCTGCGGCAGTACACTCCCTGCTGTCTGTCATCGTCGGGGAAGCGATGGGACAGTGTGTCCTCTGATCCACAGAACATGCTGCGTTAGGACCTCCCAGCAACCTGATGGTGAGCACAGAGCCCCCACCCGCCTTTCCCGTGTGCACCACCTACTTTCCCTGCCCCCACCACCCGCCTTCCTCGGGTCCACCTCCGGGTGCCCACCACCCACCTGCCCCGTGGCCTTCCCGGCAGGGCTTCCTCTTACACACAAACCATTCCCTGTGGGTTTGGTGTGCAGAATGTCTGGAGTTGAGACAGAAAACGTCAGGGCACGGCTGTTTCATTTCAACAAAAGACGATGTCTAAAGCGAACTTAACATAAATCCTTTCACCCTCCCTTTATCTGACCAAATAACTACTCAGAAACCTAAAGCACAAACTATTGTAGCTCTTCTCTCAAAGCCTCAGACGTAGGGACTGCCTGGAGCGTTCTGGAAGGTTCCCATGGATGGAGGTACTCTGCTGAGATCCTGGGATGTTTGCTGTGAGCTTGACCTCCATTGGAAGGCATGGTGCCAGACTAGATGCCCTGTCACTGAGCCACACATTAGCCCGACAATGCATCTTTGTTTATGAAGGACCAAGTTACCCACAGGCTTGGCACTTGTTCCACCCCCATGCTGAGTGAGAGATTAATTTAGAAGGAATCCTGTCCGAACATTACACCCTACTTCATTTCTTAACATTCTAACTTCCTTGTATGAACTGTGATTATTAAGGAAATTAATAAACCTACAGTTCTAACCAGCTGTATTGTTTGTCTTGGTGGTTGGTTAAGACCATCACCTGTTTAGCGTTCAGCCCTGGAAGCTCGCCTCTTTCCCAATGTTGGGTGGCCCTTTAATACCCTCGGTGAAGTTGCATAAGTCATAGGACCCTCTTATAGTTTTAATTAAGATTATTTTAGATATTCAAATGAAGATCTGCCCGATTAGGGTTTTGTTTTGTGTGTTTGTTGCTTTTGAGACAAGGTGTCTCTGTAGCTTTAGAGCGTGTCCTGGAACTAGCTCTTGTAGACCAGGCTGGCCTAGAACTCACAGAAATATGCCTGCCTCTGCCTCCCGAGTGCTGCGGTTAAAGGCATGCACCACCACTGCCTGGCCCCAGTTGGTTTTGAACTGGAATGAAATGAAGCTATGGATGTTCGTGGCTTCACCATGTTAAGCTATGCTGCTAAATCATTTCATGAAGTCCAGCTTCTCCTGTTGCCCTCCTCATGATTTCCAGTTGGCAGCATTTGATGCCCTTAATTTGTGGTCATTTACTGCTTATGTCAGCACGAACCTGGGGGATAATGTTACAGATTCTCTGAATTCCTGTGGTATTTGGGCACAAATGGCTTTTGAATATTTTTGTTTCCCTCTGTATTCTTGTTTCCTTTTGGTCTCTCCTGCCTTAGCCCATGGGTATTTTCTTTCCCATGTTAAACATCGTTTCCTCAATGAGCAGAAGCATTTGCTGCACAGACCTGGCCACCTGAGCTCAATACCATGTAGAGACGAAGAGAAGAGTCCACGCCAGCCTTGTCCCCTAGCATACCTTGCCACACACCGTGCCATTGCACGCCACCCCACAGTAATTAATAAATCAAAAACAGTTGGGGGATGGAGAGATGGCTCAGAGATAAAGAACATTGCCTGCTCTTTCAAAGGTCCTGAGTTCAATTCCCAGCAACCACATGGTGGCTCACAACCATCTGTCATGGGATCTCCTCTTCTGACATGCAGGCATACACACAGAATACTGTGTACATAATAAATAAATAAATAAATATTTTAAAAAACAGTTGGCTTCTTTTGAGATTTTTCAGATGTCCTTCGTACAGGCGAGAAATGAGAGAGATTTTTACAGTAGCTATAGAGAATATGGGTGGTTAGAATACACCACATTGACACTCTAAATTATCTTGTTTAAAACTGTGTATTGTGTTTTGTCTGCATGTGTATAGATATTTATACATGTATGTGCATTGGCCATAGAGAGTAGAGGGCGTCAGATCCCCTGGGGCTGGAGTTAGAGATGTCAGCCACCTTAGAGGCTGCGACTCAAATGCTGAAAGAGCAGCCAGTGCTCTCAACCCCCGAGCCGTTACTCCTGCTCCAGTGTTCCTCTTTCTAGTTGGACGGTCACATTGAGAGACTCAGAATATCTCTGTAGAATATCTTTGTTTGTTTGTTTGCCATGCCTGTTACACCAGGAACTGGTGCTAAGCTTCTATAGCTTGACCTGGTCATGGCTGGTGGTGATGGAGACTCCATCAGCTTCCTGACAGAGTCTTCAGATGCTAACTTCCTACAGCTCACTAACCTATCCAGGTCAGACCTCAGAGAACCTCAGTACAGACCTCAGCTGCATTTCTTGAAAAATTGACAAGGAACTGCCCATCCCACATGGCCATGGGGACCTGCGTCTGCCGCCCTCTGTGGAAAGAGCATAGGTATCAGGGATCCTGACCGTATTCAAACACAAGACAAAGAACGTACAACCTACATCTCCTCCTCCTTAAAGGAAGGCTCTCCACGGCTAGTGGTGCATGTGTGTGCTCACCCCACAGTGAGTGAGCACTCCCCACAGTGAGTGAGCACTCGACCCGCGTGTGTCTGCTTTTCCAGCACAGTTACTGTGTCACCAAGCGCCTGTGGGTCACAGACAGACCCTGATCAGGTGAGATGACAAGCAAGAGGCAGAAAAACTAAAATAATGTTGACAAAGCTCCAGTCTCGGTACTTTTAACCCAGGAGCTTCTAGAGACGTTTCACATCCAGTAGGTCACTCTGTCCCTCTGGTTCCATCCTTACACCCTTCCTCAGGGGACCCTCTTGGCCTGACGGGGCAGGACAGAGAGCTGCACAGGGACTGCACTTGGAATAGGTACCTCGTCTGGGGAAGCATGTACTTCATGAGCTATCTCTATACCCTCCATAGCGTGCACTCCATGATATCTAAGTGTTAAATATGGAACTCTGGAACCGTGGTTGTCTTCTTCTTTATTAGCAAAACATGAATATTGTTTAAACCCTATCTTATTTTAATTGTTTTAATCCTATCTGAAAGCATTATAGAACATCATAGACACTAATTTAATCAAGAAATATTAGTATTTAAAATATAAAATATAAATGTTATTAGAGGTTAAAGTTTTTGTACAATTTGGATATGACTTAACTCTAATATTTGAGTAACACTAACTAGAGTAAATGAAGTTTAATTGTAATTTAAAGACATTTTTGTTTTATCCAAATCATGCTGAGTAATGAGAAATTGTATAATATATTGTTATATATATATATAGTCTGTACATAGAGAGAGACAGGAAAAACACTTGAATCCTTTAACATGAAAACTAGTTTTAGGGGCTGGAGAGATGGCTCAGAGGTTAAGAGCATTGCCTGTTCTTCCAAAGGTCTTGAGTTCAATTCCCAACAACCACATGATGGCTCACAACCATCTGTAATGAAGTCTGGTGCCCTCTTCTGGCCTGCAGCATACACACAGACAGAATATTGTATACATAATAAATAAATAAATATTTTTTTAAAAAAGAAAACTAGTTTTAAATAGTGTGGAGGTTGGGGTAAGCAAATGGTTATAAAAAATAAGAATAAAAAGAAAGGACAACATTTTTAATTATAAGTTCATTAAGACAGATTAATACTATTTCATCACTTAGAAATATACTGGGTAGAATATTAAATATCATAAACAATTTTGATAAATCTAATCATAAAAGTATTGAAGAAGCATAAAAGTATCTGATGTTGTGGCACATGCCCTTAATCCCAGCAGTTAGGATGCAGAAGTAGGCAGATCTCTGAATCTGACACCACCCAGCCTACAGAGCTAGTTTCAGGACAGCCAGGGCAACATAGAGAAACCCTGTCTCAAACAGAAACAAGCGAACAAAAAGAGTAAAAAAGTGAGAGAAATTCTTAACTAGTCAGTGTTCTCTACCATCAGTGGCATCATCTGATGATATCTGGAGGTATCACCCAGCATTTTGAAGTCCCCATGAACAGACTCTTAGATAATGTGAGAAAGTTCACCCACTTGAGCTTCCTCGTCTGAGCTGAGTTACAAGTACCTCGATACACACCTAATCTTTTCATCAGAATGGAGTTTTTGATATGATGTCTTTCTTTTCTTTTAGTTGAAGAAATCATTTGGTTTTCTTTATCCGTTGTGAAGGCTCTGTAACTAATTTAGAATTTTAATTACCATACTTAAAAGTCCTTTTCAACATGTAAAGCCGGCTGGTGTACCAAATGGCCGTTTATCTCCAAACACTTTCTCCTTTTTGGAAAGCTTGCCGCCCACACCTACCCTGCTTTCTCTTTCTGAATACTTGCCCGTCTAGCTAGGGAATGTGTGTCGGGTCAGTTTTCTGGGCTGTCTTTGGGATCGACGTTGTGGGAACTCCTTTCTGCCATAGCTTTTTTGGGTACCAGCCTTAGGGAGTGGCTCCTGTGTGCAGGTGTGATCTCTTATAAGGGAGAGGAAGGATCTTGCTCGCTCTCTTGGGGGGTAGGAGCAGAAGCAAGCTTGTGCAGCTGTTCAACATCCCCCCAGAGCAGCGGGACTCGGTGACTTCCACCTTGTTTGGTATTCTGCGTGTCTGTGTTTCCTTCTGAACCCCATTTTCTTTTGCATCCCCATAATAAAGGCAATTTGTAACTCTTGCATGACCTCTCGCTTTAGTTCGATTTTCTCAGCTTTTACCCTAAGACCATCTTTCTCCCCTGGGTTATTCTGCACGTTTATGCAAACATGAGGGGACTCATGAGACTGGGTGACCAAGCCCTCATATGTGTCTTCCCAGGTGAGCCAGTGTAGTTCCTTCTGACCTAGGAATAGGATATATTTATTGGGTTTCCAATAAATATATATTTATATTGGGTATTCCACCTTTGGGCGGGTGGAAACAGGTGCATCTTATCTTCAACCTTTATCACCAGGTGTTGGTAGAACTGAGTTCAGCAGGGTCACAGGAGAAGCAGTGGAGAAATGCAGGGTTATGAATTCGAGGAGGAGTTGCCAGGAGACAAAGGTCACATGATAGCAAATCAAAGCATTTCAAAGACAAACAAGACAGAAACCAACGTGCTTTCAGAGTTCTGAAAGCAGGCAGAATCCAAAGCCTTTAAAGCTCTCAAAACAGGCAAGCAAGCAAAACAAAACGTCTAGACAGAAACGCTTTCCAAACAGACTAGATACTTTACACCAAATACTTTGGAAGCAGACCCCAAAGGTATCTATCAAATTACCCCGAATTCCATGCTTTAATGTAGAAAGAGTTTCGTGAAGGTTTATAGCTTTGCAGAACAAAGAACATCATAAATCAAGACAAATTTAAAACATATTGGTTTTAAGTTGGTTTAAAAGTTAAAACACTTCAAAGAGTTGGTTCCAGCAAGATGGGGGAAGCTTTGTTGTAGGCCCAAGATGCTATCTGAGGATAGTCTTACTTTTTGAGTTGGTGGAAGGTAGTGCTTTGCTAAGTTAATAGATTTCGAAAGGGTTTTATCCATTGGTCACAGGATATTAGTTCTGACACAGAGGTGGCCAAAGAGTGACTATTCTGGGGGTTAGAGCTAGCCCGACATAAGGTAATTAACCTCTGCACCTGCAACATCCCGCCCTCTCCACATCTCTGTGGCTGTAATCAGTGTTTCCGGACGTGGCGCCTTTCCAGGAATTTTCATTCACAGCTTGAACACAGGCCACACGTCCAGGCATCCACTATGTGCTCA